CCCCCGGCCGCGCTGTGGTGCGCCCTCACGGCCTAAGCCCCCGCCTTCACCGGGGGGCACCGCAGCGCAGGGGAGGGTTGTTTGTGCTTACAAACTGCGTGGGGTCCTCCCTTGGAGTCTCAATAAAGCCGAAAAACGGCAACGTGCTGCTTCGTGGTAACTGCCTGGAAATCGTGAATCAGAAGGTCTCTGTATGGCGCTCCCGAAGACAAACTTGAGCTGAACTAGCCCTCAGCAGCTCCTAAACACGTGCTTTTCCTCAGAAGTGAGGACTAGGGTTGGCACTAGTAAGGAGGCTGCATGCTGTGCCCGCCGTGGTGAAGGAGCCTTCTCGCAGGGCTGGGGTATGAGGCAAGGTGTTTCTCGAAGGAGGGCTCTAGGATGGCGCTGCACAGCTGCCAGAACTCTGACTCGGGCTCAGCAGGATCTTTGTTCTTCACCTGTGTAAAGGTCAAACTGGAAAACGCAGGTGTGTTCCTGGATGGTGTTCTTCAGTCAGTGTCAGAGGGTTGTTCCAGAAGCAGCATATTCCCTTACTGTGGCATGTTTGGGGTGGTGGAGTTTTTTTATTGTGGGTTTGGGGGGGGTGACGGGCTTTTTTTTCATTAATGATTGTTCATTTTTCTTTTTGATTTGAAAGCGAATATCATCCTGCGCTCCTACGTAATTGGATCTGTTCTTACCCATCAGGATAGTGACTTTGATGAGTGCCAAGTTGTGTCCTGCCCTTTAAATCTTTCTGAGGTAGCATAAAAGGGGTTGTTTTGTTAAGTAGCTGGTCACACAACTCCTGACTGAAAACAAAAAGATGCTTATTTAGAGCAAAACAGAAAATCTAATTCTGTGTTTATTTCATTTAGTAAGATAGTGTCTTATGATTGTTACAGTAAATTCTTCTCACTAGTATCTTCACCTCTTCATTTTTTTTCTAAAGATAAGAGGTGTTCACGGTGTGTTTATTTCATTTAGTAAGATAGCGTCTTTTGATTGTTACAGTAAATACTTCTCACTAGTAGGTGCTCACGGATGTGTCTTGTCCTTCACAGTGGTTTTTAATGTCTCACAGTATCTAGTGGGGAGAAGAAATGGTTGCTACATGTAACTGTGCATAAATGTTTTTTTCCTTTTATTTAGCTAGTTGGAAAACTTGCAGCCCGAGATTAAAAAACTCGCTGAGCATGTTCGCTATGAAGTTTCTGTCCGTGGAAAGCAACTGGGTTGGTCTGAAAAGGTTGCCAGGTAAGATGGCAATTGTATGTGTTTTTTAAATCCATTCTAGACTGGGGAGGTAGCAGGAGGGAAAGTCCTACAAACCAACAAGAGTTGTTATAGCAACAGGGCTAGAAGCTGTGAGGGAAGGGCTTGGCAAAGGAGAGGGACGTGTTTGAAGAGGAAGGACTTTAAGATTTTCCAGACGTGCACCTCTTGGTGTTGGAACTAGATGATCTTTAAGGTCCCTTCCAACCCAAACCGTTCTTTGATTCTATAAATAGGCCAGTTTGACATGCATAGTCTGTAGAAGTGTTATTTCAGAACTCGAGAAGTTACTCTGTTGGGTATCATGAGAGCTGTTTATGGCTTTTTCTTTTGAAAAGGTTCCATTTTAAGAAAAACCTGCGGAGGATTATTACAGAACTGTACATTCGAGACAACTGCCATCCCTTCAAAGCCACCTTACTGGTGTGGGTACAGATTCCGATGTGGGTTTGCGTGTCCCTCGCTTTGCGCAACTGCAGCGTTGGTGCCATGGACTCGGAAGGTGATGAATCTGAACAGACGTGCTCTTAGCAGTCGCTTTTCATTCAGTTACTGCTTCTACAGGCGCTTTGTTGGAAGCACCCAGAGCATCTCTGCCCTCTGCTCGGACGCTCTCAGTATTTCTGACGGTGTTGCAAGCTTTGCGGGGTGTCTCTTTAAAAGCAGCGTCCGAGCTCTAGGAACAGGGTGAGGCATTTTGTTGGGCCATGTGAGCATTTAATTATTTTGTGGTCTTCTGAAGACAGGGTCACTAGGGGAAAAAAAAAAAGTCCTCTTGGGATTTTTCTGGTTCACACAACACGCGTATTTAGCAAGTAATACGACGTGTGGCACAGCACGTTCATGATTCATTTGTATTTTTTTCCTTCCATGTGAAGTTTCACATGAAGTACTATAGACAAGGTGAATGTGTGGGGTTTTTGAAATAAAAATACTGATATTTTGATAATTTTTTTTTTTTTTTTTACTAACTTGAGGCAGAAAATTGTGCTTAATTCTGTATCTTTTTTTTATTTGTGTAGTTCAAGAACAGTTCTCAGCAGGTGGAACGTTGTGGTTTCCAGACCTCACTGCACCAGATTCCACATGGATTTTGCCAGTTTCACTTGGGCTCATAAATTTGCTGATACTGGAGGTATGTTGGTGGAATAAACAGGATGGTTCTAAAAGGGCAGTTCTTACAGGGCAGGATTACCCAGTTATAAAACATGGTAACATAACAGTAGCTTCACATTGTGACTACTTTAAATGCATTGGCCATAACTGAAAAGTGACTCGGTTGTTCTCTGCATTATTTAGAGACGGTGGATTCTGATGTGACCTGTCTCAGGTCTTTTGTTGGCTTTTCTTAAGTCTCAGTAAAATTTAGTCTTGTTTCTCCTAAAATGATGTTCTAATGAGCTTGCTGGTTGTTAAGCATCCGGAAGGACATGTGGGGTTGTACTGGTTTCAGTTGGGATTGAGTTAATTTTCCTCACAGTAGCTAATATGAAGGCCATGATTTGGTTGTTTTGAGAATATTGATAACATACTAATGGATATAGTTGTTTATATCAAGTCAAGGACTTTTTCAGTTTCTGATACTGCGCCCGTGTACCCAGCTTCTTCACTACAAGAAGCTGGGAGGGGACACAGCCAGGACAGCTGACCCAAACTGACGAAAGGGATATTAATTCCATAAAATGTCATGCTCAGTGTATAAGTTGGGGCTGGGCCAGATCTCTCTCTCTCCCTCTGTCACTCATTGGGGCTCACTCTGGTGTGATCTCTCTCTCTCGGACTTGGTCTTGCTCGGGCTTTGTGTCTCACTGCTTGTAGTGTTTTTATTTCATTACATATTAGTAAGTAGTAATATTAGTTTATTTCACTTATTTTCAAATACTATTCTTAACTCACGAGTTTCCTTGTGTTTTCCTCTGATTCTCTTCCCCATCCCACTGCGGGATGGGGGAGGTGAGTGAGTGGCTGGGTGGTGCTTGGTTGCTGGCTGGAATTAAACGACAACAGCATTTTTTTTATTGTTCTTCCTCCTCCCTCCCCCCCCCCAGTAACTTGTTACTGCCTTGTGGTCAAAACTAACAATGTGGTCTGAATAAGCAAAAAAATCCAGAACTTTCTATGATTGCTGGGGAGATTAATCAGCAGAAACTGAAAAAAGGAAAGAAGTTTTCATTTCCCGTTTTTGGGGGTAATTTAACGGGAATGTTTTTCTGCTTGATTTTTCTGTGAGGTGTTTTCATCAAACTCAAACCATCTGGGTTTCATTCTTATTCCATTTTCTGTGTTATTTGGACTGAGACAGTCTTAGAGTTAAAAAAAAAAAGTCAGTATGTGACTGTAGACCTGATGGTGTTTGTTCAGTTATCTATCAACCATGTTTGGTCTGTTTCCTGTTGGCAGCTTTTTTGCAGAGGGCTGTGCTACAGGCTGAGGCGTTGTAACTTTGCGATGTGCAAAAGTGACTGTGTACAGTTCTGTTACCTTGAATGAATGTTAGGTACTCTGCTAGGTTGGTGCAGCGTTCTACAAAGGATTGAACATGTAAAACACCAAGCAAGTGAAATGAAAGATTGTAGCAGTATGTTAACTGAAATGGAGGCTGCAGAATGCAAGTAAAAGGTGGATAAGAATGCTGGGTTACAGGAAACCCCACTGTGGCCTTTTTAATCTTCTGAGTTGTTTGCAAAAGAGCTTGTTTGTGGGTTTTTTCTCTTTCAGATCTTTGCTTCGCAAAAAACAAAAGTTTCTAGATTCCAGAAGCTTGCTACGAATTTCTTTCGAGTGGTGTCAGTGGTAATGATCCCTGTTGCTGCAACAGTCCCCTCTGTAAGTACGGAGTCATAATGGCACGTCTTTTAACCTGTGACTGGTATGTTCTTAGCGCTGAAGGAGCAGCCCAGATGCCTGGTGTATTTAAGGGACCATGCTCTCTTTTACAGTGTGCCCTGAAACAAGTAAGATGTTTTGTCTGTGTATGCATTTAAATTCTTGACATGTTTGGAATGTTCTTTGACATGTTTGGAGGGAAGAATATGCAAATATACTGTTTCTAACCATTGTTTAGAAGAATGTTCAGAACAGGTTAACATCCTTTTTGTGGTCTCAGAAATGAGAGGAAAACAAAAGGACATCTAGACAAAGGTTTGCCAACTCTTTGCTTACTCTAAGAGGAAAACTGTAGTTTTTAGATGAGGAAGTTTTACACAATCTTAAAAAGCTTCTCACTTTTACCAGGTTTTCTACTTCTGAACATTTTTGCAGCGGCTAGCAAAACCAGAAGTATCTAGTTGTTTGGCTCACCAACTTATAGTCTGAAATACAGAAGTTTAAGCAAGTTTAATATGAATTAATTTATGAACTGTTATCACACTTCAGTGTAGATGATGTTTTTTCCCAGGAGAGTTGAGAAAGTGAAAAATGCATTTGAAACAGAAGCCATTATTGTTCTTGAGAGGAGAGAGTTTAGGTGAGTTATTTTTCTTGATAACTGGGAGTAGCCAGTGGTTGTGGTTTGTGAAAAGCTGCCTAAAATTGTAGTGTTCTCGTTGCACCTAGGGAGGCTGAACTCGGTATTTGTCTTGTTGCAGTCCATGGCGCTGTACTGGCTGTCCTCGAGCTTCATGGGACTCTCGCACAACCTGTTGCTGCGTTCTCCGATCTTTCGTCGAGTGTGTTGCATACCAAGGACTAAGTCTGACTCGGACACCCCTTACAGGGATATTGTGTCTGCCTTAACTACCAAATATGGTTTTAAGAAATGATGTCACAAGAACTGTCCCCCGAATGTTGCATGGGTAACTGAGTAGTGCTGTGTTACTGAGATGCAATTATTTACTGTACAATGTTGCAGCTGGAATGACAGTTATTTTCCAAATAAAGCATTGACCATCTGGCCATAAGGAATGATTGTGTAGCACAAATGTATGTTTCTTGGGAAGTTCTGTTTCAGGGGTGGTGGTTTTGCAATTAGAATAGACCAGAAATACAGGCTTTTCACCTGAATTATCATAAGGAATTGTGCAGATCAATGTTAAATGAACCCATGACTCATCTAGGCTGCTGCCTTGTAGTGAAGCTGATTTGACCTGCGGGCTAACGAACAACAAGTGTTGGGGTGATGAAAAAGGCTAGATGGACTGATGCTGTAGTTCTTGGTTTATTTAATTAAGACACTGGTGCAGATTGATTGGTAATAGGGTATAATCATTTGATGTTGAGGTGGTTCACATGACAGTTCATAACTGATTTCCTCTATCTGCAAAGCAAACTAGGTCGCTGTCAGTCTCTTGTGCGTTAGGTTTGGAGTGAGGAGGGCAAGTATCCTTTACTGTTTCTGAGGATCTCCTGCTGCGTGACAGCATTGTGTTTCTTTCCAATTTCTTTTTCCGTGAATAAAATAGAGTAGCAGCTGCTTATTTTCTATCTAAAATGAGGCAAGTAACACCTTGAAGAAGAATGAATGACGATAAGAAACCAAATACTTCATTCAACTGTATATCAAATCTATTTGTTAATGTATGACCTAAAGGTGAAGCGCAAATATTTTATGCCTTAAATGACCTCCGTATGATATTTATTTTAAGTGAACATCAGTGTAATTACATGTAGGGACGTCCCGTAGGGTATTCAGATTCATGTCTCGCTTTGCTCTGTGTAGGTCAGCACACTTGGATTGTTATGAAACTTCTGCGCCGTAATGTCCCTTTGCACAGGCATCTGCTTAAGTCTGGCTTTGTAAAAGGTTATCTTCTTTTCTTAGAGAAGCAGAAATCGGGATAGCAGGAAAAGCATTGCTTGTATGCTTTTCTCCCAGATGGTTGTAATAACGCAGAGTCAGGATGTTTCATGCTTTACGTGTTAAAAGTTGGTGCTGATTAATCTTTGATAATACGAAGTCATTTTTAAAATAACAGATTTTTATGCCATTAGAGAAAACTGTTTAGCCCTGGGAAAGAGAGAAGCAGGTGGGATACCAGGTGGCTGTAGGCAACAGTAACAAGCCAACAGCTGAGTGCCGTTGTGGGTGAAAGAATCTGTAGTCATCTGTTTTCCTTCTGTTAAGTTTGCTTCTTGTCACCCTGACCCTTGAGCAAAAGAGGAGGTTGAAGGAGTTGATCAAGGCTTGGCATGTAGATTGGGAAGGGATGTATTTTCAGAAATTTGAAACTAAATATTCCAAATTTTAAGTCCTGATACCGCCCTTGAAATTGTATTTTAGTGGATGTATTTCAGTAGAGGAATGCATGATAATATTCTTTCACACTTGATTCAGAAGCTTAAAAAAAGTCATTTAAATTATATTTGCTTACTGCATTTTATTTGAGTTTAATTTTGCCATACATTTTTTCAGACTGTAGTGTACCTGTTAGGCAGGATTGAATGACAGCAGTAGCAGTTGCACTTGGTTTCTTGCTGTAAAATTTCATAGTGCTCTGGTAGCAGGCTACAACCAGGTTGGTGTCTTGAAGTTCTTCCCGGAGGGGGTGGTGAGGCACTGGAACAGGTTGCCCAGAGAAGCTGTGGATGCCCCATCCCTGGAAGTGTTCAAGGCCAGGCTGGATGAGGCTTGGAGCAACCTGGTCTAGTGGAAGGTGTCCCTGCCCATGGCAGGGGGGTTGGAACTGGATAGGCTTTAAGGTCCCTTCCTACCCAAACCGTTCTGTGATTCTATGATCTGGCATTGGTTCTTGGGGAAGTGGGGTCCTGGCAATAGCCTGGTAAGGTGGTGAGGTGAAGGTGAAATCCTCTGTGTTTCCGAGGTGCCTGGTTGTAGGAAGGGAGCGACTGCCTACTGGGCTGTATTAACAAGAGTGCAGCCAGCAGGTGAGGGGAAGTTGTTCTTCCCTGGCAGTTCTGGAGACCGGATGTGGATGCTCTGACTAGTTTTGGGCTCCCTCGTACAACATGTGAAAGTACTGCAGCAGATCCAGTGGAGGGCTGCTGAGATGGCCGGGAGGCTGGAGCACATGATGTGCTGAGACAACTGGATTTTTGTTCAGGCCCCACAAGATGGTCTTGTAAAGACAGGGGCGAGATTTATCGCCATCTCCAAGCAGTGGGAAGTGGCGAAGAACATGGATACAAACTTGGCTCAGACGTACATAGGGGAAGGATGAGAGGCAATAGGGATAGTCCAACACCTGGGTTTCTGGGAGGGATTGTGGTATCTGTGGCATCAGAAGTACTTGAAATGCCAACTGGATGAGGCCCTGGGGAAACAGTTTAATGGGCCCAGCCCTGAGGAGGGGGTTGGACTGGAGACCTCCACAATTCCCTTGCTAGCTGTGTGGTTCTGTGATAATATTAGTGTCTTATCCGTAGAAAAAGCACAAATCCTTAAAGAAAAACCCCATTTTTTCAAGCATACAACTGGGACCATATTCAGTCTTAGGGTTGGTGTATTGCCAGCTACTGTATAGGTCGAGACAAGAATGCAGTTTTCTGTTCCTGCACGGGTAATGCTGAACTTCTAGCAGCATCCCATCCTAAGAAACAACAGACTGATCATAGCCTCGTGTCATATCGAGGGCTCAGTGATCCTTTTATCTACCTATTTCTTCTTACAAATCACTGTCTTGTGTGTTTTCTTCCACTTGTATGTAGTTTGCTTAATAATAAACTGCATTAGATTCTCAAATGTTGGGAGAGGAGCAACAATTGAATTTTGAAGTTAGTGTTCTAAAATATGTAGTTCTCGGTTTGAACTGTCGGTTGATACTGATTACTGTTTCCTTGAGACTAGTAGCCAGCTTTCTACTCTGTAATAAGGTTTCTTTCCCCACAAGTAATTTCTTTCCTTTTTGAGATTCTCAGTCTCATTTGCAAACATGTATACAGTTCTTTAAGTACAGGGAAATAGGTTGGTTGTTATAGTAAGGAGGTGCACGTGCAAGATTTTTGGGTGTTAGTATTTGAACTTGTGTTTTGTCTTTACTGTTGTTGAATGTTTCGCCTCACAGTGTTGATACCAGGTCTGGCTGCATGGAAAAACAGTGCGATGAAGCTCAGTGAGATACAGTGCTCTTGATGCTGCTCACAGAATTACAGAGCATCTCAAATAGCATAGCGAGATTTAGTGAGGTAGGTGGTGTTTTGGTTTTGTTTTCTGCGTATTTAGCAGTTGATAAATACACCACAAAATAATCACAGTTAATAAAACCTCAAAGGCCTGTAGAAAAGGACTATAAGGTGTTAGATTTAATGGGAACTGGCCACAGATAAATGTATTCAGAGTTGATGCAAGGGTAAGAAAGGTCTAGAATGTTTTCAAATCTAACAAAAATATACTAAACTAAACCCAAACTATTAGGACTAGTAGGAAAATGCTCAGGAGGTGAGTTATTCCACACTTGTGTTTTACTTGTTCCTTGCATTTTCCTCTGAAGTGCCTGTTTCTGGGTGCTGTAAGAGGCACTGGGGAGGATGACAGGACACAGTTCGGGTAGAGCTGGAGCCATTTGTGACAATTCTGGCATGGAAGCCTCGTAACTCCTGCCACACTTCTGGCTTTGCAAGTTGGAATTCTGCATGCTGATTCTGACCAGTTGCAGAGCTCTCTTGTGACAGGTTCATCACTCCTGCCTCATTTACTCCATCAGGTGAATTGCCAAGGACACTTAATCGCATTTAGAAAATATTTTCATTTGTTGGGCTGAACTTTGAGTTTGGAAAATATTAATGGACTGGTTTTTGCCTTTGCTCTTTACTTTGACAAGTAGTCTGTGTCTGAGATATGAAGCTGGCATGGAAATCTTGTTTGGCTCACTTGTGCATCCTTGATCCCCCATCTGTGTGGTAGAAGTCCGGGGAGACAAACTCTTCTATGGTGGTGACATTAGTCCTCTCTGGAAAAGGGTTCAAACGTTGCTCTGTTGTTTACTGTTGTTTCTCTGTTGGAAAAGAAATGTTTATTAGTAGTAAGGAAATTAAGTCAACAAAATCCAGACTGTTCAGACTAGAAATGAAAAGAAAAAAATCATTAATTTAACTTTTTTTTTTTTTAAATAGATGTGAGTGGAAACTATGTAACCGTTCACCACTTGGCTTTAGAAGGTACTGGAGTACTTTGGCCAAGAGGTTTCAAATTGACCAACATGTGGTAAAATATGTGCAAGGCATACAACGGCTGATTATATTTTTCACAGGATAGGTACTATCACAAAGGAAACTGCTGTTCCTCAGAAACACAGAACACGACAGAGGAACTGTGGAGAGCATAGCACAGCTCCTGGTTCACACAACTGACAGCACAAAGAATGTGAGATGTCAGGTAGGAGTGCTTCGTTTTAACGCACCTGCTGTGAAGGTGAGGATTTGAATGTCTTTGGCAATCTGGGAAAGCAATTGTGCTTCAAATCTAAGAGATACCATGACAGTAATTTTACTTCTTTTGCAAAGTGCCTTAAGGAAGGTGCTAGTTTGAGTGAAGTGGATCCTAGAGGTAAATTTTGTAAGACTCCAAGTGTGCTGCAGGTCCCTAAGTTTCCTGGGAGCAAATAAACTGTACCTTGTATCTTGTTTTGGCTGCTCTAGATACCAAGATGATAAAATTCTGTCTTACCAAATTCACCTGCGTTTAAAGTGCTTAGTGTTCTATATATGCAAAATAAGAGGTACACCTGTATATCTGGGGGAGAAGAAAAAGCGGAAATTCTGTGTTTTTCAGAAGTCTGGTGGTTAAATTAAGAATTTCATTATGGTTAGAAGTTGACAATCCATACAGTTATTCCCTGAAATACCCTGACTCTAAAAATAAGGAAGA